ATTATTGGACACCGTTATTAATGATCAAGGACTATTTGTCACTCAAGAAAAAATCCACACTGTGTCTGCTTTAAAGAATTTTTGCCTATTTCTTTTCCTTTTTCTTTTGCTTTCATAAGAATAAAAGGTAATAGAAAGTTAAAATTGTTTTAGTCCCATTATATGAATTAGTCTGAGGAGAAGAAAGCTTTCGGAACTTCCAAGAAAATTAAATTTAAGGGTCTTTATCAGCTATGTCACCATGGAGACAAAAATGTGTGGTCACCGTGGTGACCTTCATCAACTCTCTCCACTGAAATTATTACCATATAAAATTAGATATGGCTGCTGTTATGAAAAGACAGAGTATAAATAAGTTGAACTAGCTGGATGATAATGCTGGCTGAACTCGGTATCCTGGTGCAGTTCTAAAAGTGTTATTGAATGGTAAGCTGACACCCTGTTAGATTCTTCACATAACCAACTCTGGCTCTGCCCTTTAACTGCTGGGCTGGTGGAACATACTTGGATGGGGCTGTTCCTTGTTTCCTCTTTAGTCTCCTGCCTCATTCAAGGCAACTTTCCTGTGTCTTTGCTTTTTTTGGGCTGCCTTTGGTGTTACCTATTGCTTTTCTGAAGGTTACTCCATGAATTCTGATATGTCTGTAAAAAAAACCCCAAATAACTTTATAACAATTGCCATCAATAGGTAATGCAATAATAGTAGTAGTTTTGTTTTACATAATTGTTTTTGAAAAAGAGATAATCAGGTCCGGTGCAGTGGGTCATGCCTGTAATCCTAGCACTTTGGAAGGTCAAGGCAGGTCTTGATCACTTGAGGTCAAAAGTTCAAGACCAGCCTAGCCAATGTTGTGAAACCCCATCTCTACTAAAAATACAAAAAATTGGCCAAGCGTGGTGGTGTGTGCCTGTAATCTCAGCTACTCGGTAGGCTGAGGCAGGAGAATTGCTTGAACCTGGGAGGCAGAGGTTGCAGTGAGCCGAGATCGCACCACTGCACTCCAGCCTGGGTGACAGAGTGAGACTCCATCTCAAAAAAAAGAAAAAAAAAGAAAAAGAGATAATCAACTCAATTCTAAGGTGCATCTTGTAACACGCCACAAATTATGTACATGCACACCTTGTTTCATTGTGCCTAACAGATACTGAGTTTTTTTTGTTTTTTTGTTTTTTAACAAATGGAAGGTTTGTGGCAGTTCTGTGTTGGTCAAGTCTGTCAGGGCCATTTTTCTTTTCCTTTTTTTTTTTTACGCCATTCTCCTGCCTCAGCCTGTAGCTGGGACTACAGGTGCCCGCCACCACGTCTGGCTACTTTTTTTTTGTATTTTTGGTAGAGACGGGGTTTCATTGTGTTAGCCAGGGATGGTCTTGATCTCCTGACCTTGTGATCTGCCCACCTCAGCCTCCCAAAGTGCTGGGATTATAGGCGTGAGCCACTGGGCCCGGCCTATGGAGGCCATTTTTCTTTTTCTTTCCCTCCCTCCCTCTCCTGCCCTCTCTCCTCCCTTCCTTCCTTCCTCTCTCCTTTTTCTTTTCCTTCTTTTCTTTTTTTTCTTTCTTTCATCTTTCTTTCTTCTCTTTCTTTTTCTTTCACTTCCTTTTCTTTTCTTTTTCACTTCTTCTTTTTTTTTTTTTTTTTTTTTTTGGAAGAACGAGTCTGGCTCTGTCGCCCAGGCTGGAGTGCAGTGGCGCAATCTCGGCTCACTGCAAGCTATGCCTCCTGGGTTCATGCCATTCTCCTGCCTCAGCCTCCCGGGTATATCGGGGCCATTTTTCTAATAGCATGGGCTCATTTTGTGTCTCTGTGTCACATTTTGGTAATTCTTACCAAATTTTTCATTATTATATCTGTTGCGGTGATCTGTGATCAGTGATCTTTGATGTTACTATTGTAATTGTTTTGAGGTGCCACAAACTGCATGCCATATTCAATGGTGAATTTAACTGACCACCATGTGTGTTCCGACTGCTCCACTGGCAGGCTGTTACCCCCTCTCTCTCTCTCCTCAGGCTTCCGTATTACCTGAGACACAATGGTATTGAAATGAGGCCAATTAATTACCCTACAGTGGGCCTAAGTGTTCAAGTGAAAGGGTCGTACATCTCTCACTTTAAATAAATGAAAAAGTAGGAATGATTAAGCTTAGTGAGGAAGGCATGTTGAAAGCCAAGACAGGTCCAAAGCTTGGCCTCCTGTGCCAAACAGGCAGCCAAGTTGCAGATGCAAATGAAGAGTTCTTGAAGAAAATTAAAAGTGCTACTCCAGTGAACATGTGAATGATAAGAAAGTGAAAGAGGCTTATTGCTGACATGTGAAATGTTTCAGTGGCCTGGATAGAAGATCGAACCAGCCAATAACATAGCCTTAAGGCAAAACCCAATCCAGAGCAAGGCTCTAACTCTATTTAATTCTGTGAAGGCTGAGAGCAGTGAGGAAGCTGCAGAAGAAAAGTCTGAAGCTAGCAGAGGTGAATTTATAAGGTTTAAGGAAAGAAGCTGTCTCCGTAAACTAAGTGCAAAGTGGAGTAGAGAGTGCTGATGTAGAAGCTACAGCAAGTTCTCTAGAAGATCTAGCTAAAATCATGGATGAAGGTGGCTTCACTAAACAATGGATGTTCAATGTAGATGAAACAGCCTTCTCTTGGAGGAAGATGCCATCTAGGATTTTCATAGCTAGAGAGGAGAAGTCAATGCCCGCTTCAAAGCTTCAAAGGACAGGCTATCTTGTTAAGTGCTAATGAAACTGGTGACATGAAGTTGAAGTCAATGTTCATTGACCTTGAAAATCCTAGGGCCCTGAAAAATTATGCTATATCAACTTTGTGTTCTAGAAATGGAACAACAAAGCCTGGATGACAGCACATCTGTTTACAGCATGGTTTACGAAGGTTTTAAGCCTGGTGTTGAGACCTATGTCTCAGAAAAACAGAATATTCGTTTTAAAATATTATGGCTCATTGACAATGCACCTGGTCTCCGAAGGAGTCTGATGATGTACAAGGAGATTAATGTTGTGTTTATGCCTGCTGACACAATATTCATCCTGAAACCTATGAATTAAGGAGTAATTTTGACTTTCACATCTTATTATTTAAGAAATACATTTCATAAGGCTATGGCTGCCGCAGATAGTGATTCTTCTGATGGATCTGGGAAAAGTACATCAAAAACTTTCTGGAAAGGATTTACCATTCTAGATGTCATTAAGAACTCTTGTGATTCATGACAGGAGGTCAAAATCCTAACATTAACAGGCCTTTGCGAGCAGTTGATTCCAACTCTCATAGATGACTTTGAAGGGTTCAAGACTTTAGTGGAAAGAATAACTGCAGAGGTGATGAAAGCAAGAGAAGTAGAATTAGACGTGGAACCTGAAGATGTGACTGGACTGTTGCAATCTCACGATCAAACTTGACTGAATGAGGAGATGCTTCCTATGGATGAGCAAAGAAAGTGGTTTCTTGAGATGGAATCTACTCCTGGTGAAGAGGCTTTGAATGAACATTGTTGAAATGACAACAACGTATTTGGAATATTCTATGAACTTAGGTGATAAAGCAGTGACAAGGTTTGAGAGAATTGACTCCAATTTTGAAAGAAGTTCGACTGTGGGTAAAATGCTGTCAAACAGCATCACATGCTACAGAGAAATCTTTGATGAAAGGAAGAGTCAAATGAAGCATCAAATGTCACTGTCTTATTTTAACAAGTCGCCACAGTCACCCAAACCTTTAGCTATTACCACACTGATCAGCCAGCAGCTCTCAACATTGAGTCAAGACCCTGTACCAGCAAAAAGATTATGACTCACTGAAGGCTCAGAGAACTGTTAGCATTTTTTAGTAATAAAGTATTTTTAAATTAAGGTATGTACATTGGTTTTTTAAACACATAATGCTACTGCATACATACTTAGTTTACTATAGTATAGTGTAAATGTAACTTTTATATGCACTAGGAAACCAAAAACTGCATGTGACTGACTTCATTGAGATAGTCACTGTATTGCAGTGGTCTGGAACTGAACTTGCAATATCTCTGAGGTACACCTGTATGTGAAATGAATCTCTCTGTGTTTAGAAATCAGTCATGTCCAAATGTATGATAGGCTATTAGTTTATGTGGGAGGTATAAACAATATTCACTGTGTGGATTAAGGAGGAAGTGCCACGTTTGCCAACAATTAGGTTCCCTGGTGCAGGGTGGTCCCCTGTGCCTGGTGATGACCTCTGTCAGACTCAGGGAGAGTTGGTTGTGTTGATGGAGGTGGGGTCAGGGTGGGGAGTGAGTGACAACCAGAGTTCAACAAGAGAGGGAGGCCATAGAGAGCAAGGGCCATGCAGGCATGCAGACACTGTTGGACAGCTCTGAGGAAGATAACTTGCCTAAAAATTGTCCCTGGGTTCAGGATACTCCAATTTTGGGTTAGGGATCTCAGAACGTTCTTTTTTAAAAAATAATTTTTCCATCCTACATAACTGAAACTTTGTACCCTTTTACCAACATCTCCCAAGAACACTCAAGTGAAAACATTTTGTAGTCAGTTTAAAATTTCAAAGCAGAGTAGGCATCTCTTCAAGCACATCTTTTCATACATTGCCTGGAAATGCTAAAAAAAATGCCGTATTTTAATGGAAAAATGAACTCGGGATTATGGGTCTTGTGAGCAAAATGACTTCTAAAACCCAGACTTCCCAAAGGAATGAACTTAAGCTTTTTGTGGCCCACCCCAAAGGTCATGGCAGACTTTCTCACAAGGCACACTGACCAAATTGCTGGGATTCTTCTGGTGGAAGTGACGTTGAGTTTGTGAATTGAATGCCTCCTGCAAACTCAGATATTTGCGATCTTAAGCCAAACTTAGTCCTTTGGGTCTGGGGATTGATTTCCCTGGGCAAAATGTTGAACTCTAGTCCTAAGAAAAAAGTCTTTGAAAAACTCTTTGGACATTGAATTAGCTCTACAAAGTAACACTTTGGTGCTTTAAAGTATAAACTAATCAAAAACACATGATTTCAGCTTCCCATAAATCACAGAGGGTTTTGCCTAAGAGAAAAATGCATGGCAAAACACATCACGAATAAACAGTTTAAGGCAATAATCAGATTGCACAAGTAGGTCAAGGATTGGGGAAGGTGACATACAAATTTGCATTCAGGTGAAGCATGGAGGGGCATGTTAGTGTTAGCCTACATCTGGTGAGAGACAGGATACCAGCAGTGCCGTTGTTCTCAGGTGAGAGAGTGACTTTTGGTCTCTTGGTTCACTTGAAGCCTGAGCTATCTAATGTAAACTTTTATTTGGAATAATTTAGAGAAAATAAGACCAAGTTATTACAAATCTCAAATACGGAATTTATTGAGGAAATGAACTTTTACTAGGCTTCAAATAATGTGACTTCCCGGTTAACATTGCTCACTCATCATCACCTGTACTAATGGATTGATAAGGGAGATTTACATTCAGCACATGTGAGCAGAACTTTCAAACTGTGTAAAGGTCTTGAGTGGAAAACACTGCCAGGATTTTAAAATATCCTGCATTTGCTATTCTTGGCATTGTAATTTGCCTTGTTCGTGAAGCAATTCTTCTCGAAGGAAGGTCTTTGATGAAATGATCACAGCACTTGGCAATAGTTGAGTCAGGATAAATGTGGCTTTATGTGCAAAAACACTCATTTGACTTGCATTTAGGTTGTGAGGTTTGTTGGGAATTTCCTGGACTCTTCGTGACTCCTAGGCAAGGGTTCTTTTGAGAAGCTAGGGGGTAAGGGAGTGAGGGGTAAAGTATTGAGTATCTTATGTGTGCCAGGCACTGTGCTTTTAAAGATGTTATTTTGTAGAACACTTAAAGAAGTTCTTTAAAAAGGCTTATTATCTTGATTTTACAGGCAAGGAAACTGAAGCTGAAGAGATAAAGATCACTTAACTAAGATCCACAGTGACTATCATTTCTCCACCTGATGTCGAGCAACATTTTCCAGGATTGGAAAATGCTTGGGTTGGATCAATTTATAGTTTATCAGATTTGCAAAATCTCCTAAAGATGGCCTTGCTCTCTCCTCCAAGGCTGATGACTGGAATGGGAACTGAAGATGAATAAATTAAAAGCCTAAAAAGACCAATCCTCTTTTTAATTAAAAAAAAGAGTCCTTTATTGCATGAGCACCGGCATTGGTCAAAGCACAAAGAGCATCAGGATGCCTGGCTTTGAATCCCAAGGTACCACATGGCAGCACAAAACCCATCAGTGCTTGTTTGTGATGGAGCTGAGTCCAGATGATTGGAGATGAGTTCACATGAGGTCCCTTGCAGTGACAACAAAATAAGTAGCACAAGAACAAACAGTAACAAAATAAGTAACAATAGAATAAGTAAAATAATACAAGTAAATAAAATAAGAATTTAAGTAAAGTACCCAACTTTGTGCAAATTTTGACACTTAGTGATAAGTACTTACGAGGATAATCTATTACTTTGTAGTCAATTTCTGTTAGTGCACAGATGATATCCTAAGTTCACAGAACTTTTCAAGCTTCCTAATTGTCAGAGGCGGCTAGTCCAGTTGTCCTTCTGGTGCCCGAGTGGTGACCATGCTGTGTTGTTAGAGTCTGGCAGGAATAATATTCCACATGTGATCTGTGTTCAGTGATGGAAATTTCTCCACGTGTTGCCTCTAAGAGTCAAGGTGAATTCACCCACTTGGTATGCGGTTGTTTAGGCAACAAGTAATGTCTTTCGTCACTATGATGAAAGCTAGAACATTCGTTGGTTAATATTACAGCCCCTTTTTAACCAAAAAGGGATTTGATAGATGGGGTTTAAAAACTCAGGAAAAATATCTAGTCAAAATTATTATCTCCATCTATGTTAAGAATCACTTGGGACTGGTCTGGCAACAGGAGAAAAGATGAGGTTAGAGGGGTACCAACAGCTGCTTTCATGTTCCATGATGATACGTGCTACACCCTGTGCTGAAAACGATGCTTCAGGATGATCATCTTTTATTAACCTCAAAAAGTTTGAGTTTTAATATGTTTGTAGATGGGTAAGTTGGGTTCTGAGGGTTAACCTTGTCTTTTTTTTTTTTCCAGAGCAGACAGTGTTGTTGAATTGTATGAGAAAAGAAAATAATTTGGAAGGAGCTCTTTTCACTACTCAGATTATGAAAGGCGCTCTTTTCACTACTCAGATTACTTTTCAAAGCCTAACTCAAACCTGGGCCTTTATGCTGGTTCCAATAAGCAACAGCAGGAGGCAGCCAAAAGAGTGGTTCCTGGAAAGTGATCACATCTTTTGTTTATTTGGCAGCCTCGCTCGCACGGTCTATTAGACTGTGACTAACTTTTTTGACCTCATAGTTTAGAGGACCTTTACGCCCTGAAGGGGAGAAAAGTGGTGGAGAGGACTTGACCTTGCTTTGCCTATCGAATTTTCCAAGAAGGAGTCCTGCCATCATGTCCTAAATGTCAGAGCTCTTGTCGCTGTACTTATTCTTCCAGTGAAGAAGACTCTGAGTTTTTCTCTCTCCAAGCAAGTCACCTTCAGAGCTGTTTTAACTCTGTCCAATCACAAAAAGCTTAATGAATCCTTTTTCACGGCTTCTCAGCTGAACCCATCTTGCCTTTCCATCTCCTTTATTGATTTGAACCACTTGTTGGCACTTGGGAGAGCCTGCCTTGAGACAGTGTAAGAGACTTCATTAAGGAGATGTGAATGGAACATTTGCTGTGTGCTGGGCATAGGACTGGGCAGGTTGGGCCCTGGGGTTGGAGAGCTAAGCGAAGCAGAGGCATAACTGTTAGGAAAGGTGGGCGCTGAATGCAGGAATATGGGGACAGAGGCAGGGTGTGGAAAAAGACGGTCACGGGGGAGCCAGGGCCAGCTTTCTGAGGGTGAGACGGTTGATTGTGACCAAAGCAGCCTTCAGGGAGAGCAGGCCAGAGAGCAGTGGTGGTTTGGGCACTCTGGGGCTGGAGAGAGTCGAATGTGGCTGTGTAAGTGGGAGAGGTCAGACATCTGGGGCAGAGAGAGGACAAGGGAGAGAGCCCAGAACAAGGCGTACAAGCTGGGGCACCGGGCTTGCCTTGGGTCCGTTCACTCACTGGTTCTCTCTCCTGTTAGAGGGTCAGCTCCTGGGAGCAGCAGTGTCCAGTATACGCTTGTGAACAAATGAGCTTTATTCAGGTGGTTTAATCAGTTGTTGATGAATAGCCGCCAAAGACAATTCCAGTCAAGTCACAGAAGATTCCATCTGTATTCTGTGTAATGGTGATTGTCCCTGCAGCGGCAGCCCCTTTGAATCAGACTATCCCGAGTTTGAGAAGGATGCTTGAGTGTGTAGATTCGAAGTCTCAGGGTTTGAAAAGAAAACCTCAAAAGTCATTCTGGCCCCCTCTCCACTTGATTACGGTATTATAATTCAGTATGTTGAGGGTGACATTAAAAGGAAATTGTGAATGAAGGCAAACTTAGGGAAAACTTGATCAGACAGAAAGTCTTAGGGACAATTCCTGGCTTTCTCCTTTTCCCTCCAATCTCTTTCATATCCCATGGTTTACCCCCGAAATCCAAGATCTTATAAATTTTTAGGAGAGAAAGCCACACATCAGAGAGAACTTTATGGAATAGCTTATTCTATCTATCTATCTATCTATCTATCTATCTATCTATCTATCTATCTATCTATCTATATCTATCTATCATCCATCAATCATATCTATCATATTTATCCTATCAATCATATCTATCATCTATCAATCTATCATATCTATCCTATCATCTATATAATCTATCATAGCTCTATCTATCTATCTATCTATCTATCTATCTATCTGGAATCAAAGAACAATTTGGGAGATTTTAGGTACACCTAATATGAATCTAGAAAAATCCTCTTTTGAAAAGAAAATCACTAAGAAGCAAAGCAGTTCAAGAGTCTTTCAAGTTACTCTGTAAAAGTGCTTACAAACTTTCAAAAAAAATTTAATCTTTTTTTCCTCCACAATCATCCTTGTATTGCTTAGATTCACATTCTGGATGGCATACTAGGTTTTTAATGAATATAAGATAAATTATATTAATCAAAATAAGAATACTTTTTTCAATTAAATTTGATTATAAAATCTTTAAAGCATGTAGAAGCATACAAGGCAGAAATACAACATTTTGGCATATATCTTTTAAAGAAAATAAAAATAGAGGGACAGTTGAAGTCTCGCCACAGTCCTTCTCTATCTGACACCGAGCCATTTAATTTCTCATCCTTCCCACTAAGAGGCAATCCATATCTTGAAGTAGGTATGTAGTATTTACATCAGCGTTTTAATACCTTCACTACAAAACTAATACCACATTCTTCTTTCATCTCTACTAGTAGAGTTATGTATAAAATTAAAATAACATATCATATTGGTTTGGGTATTTAAAAATTACAAAAACAGTATGCTACTGTACAGTTTCTATATTTTCACACTATTTCTCTCTCTCATCATGTTTTGGAGACCCAGCCATGTAAATATACATAGATGTCGTTAATTCATTTTAAATGTTCTTTATTATGCCACTGTATAAATATGCCAGAATATATTTATTCCCAATTGATTTTCAAATATATCAAGGTATATTTGTTTCCAACATTTTCCCTATTAAAGTGTTACAGAGAACATTCTTACCCTTATCTCCTTGTGCACCTGTGTTTGGAACTTCTTTAGGGTATGTACCTAGGGGTGGTTATTGGGTCTTGGGCAATGGTGTCTTTAGCTTTATGAGATCTTGCCAAATGGCTCCCTAATGTGATGGTACCAATCAATTCTCCTATGAACCTATAAACAGTGTGTGGAGTTCTTACCATTCCATGTTCTGGCCCTCATTTGGCATTTCTAGACTTCAGAAATTGCATTTCAAGTTATTTTTTATTTTCCTGATTACCAGTTGGGTGTATTCTCTTTTTATATGTTTTTTGGGAATTTTAGATTTTCTCTTCTGTGCATTGCCTGCTGATGTCCTTTTCCTGTTTTCATTTTCTCTTTTGATTTTTTCTTATTTGCTCATGGGAGATATTTATATATTCTGGATACTCGATTTTTCTTTGCAATTTATATTATGTATTTTCTCACAGTATAATTTTCTAATAGAGGACAGACAAAGCAGAGTATGCAGAAAGAAGACTTTTCAGCTCATTAGGAGATCTGAGTTTCTGTTCCAGTTTTGCTACCAACTTGCTATTTGATCTTGGATGAGTTGTTTCATTTTCCTGGAATGTAGCTTCCATAGCTTTAAAGTCATAGAATTTCATCCCAGAGTCTCAGTCTCTTCTGTCAGATATACAATACTATCAGAGTTAGGTAAGATTGATTGAAGAGAGGGTTATGCCCAAATTAGGGAAAATCCTGAATGCTAGAATATTTAAAACCATACTGATAATATCTAATTTTTATAAATTGTAGGATTTAAAAAACACTGTTTTCATAGTCAAATGTGTCATTACATTTCAAGACCCCTGAAGGCAGGTACCACATATGTTTGCCTGCTGGGGGATATCTTGTGCCTTAAATCATGGCTGCGTGATCTTTTTAAAAAGAAAATAAAAATAGAGGGACTGTTGAATGCTTACTACAACCCTGGCCCAATCCATGTCAAGATGAATAGTTTGTTGAATGACAAAAAATCAGTGATCAGCTTATTAGGTATATAATCAATAACTTGGTAC